GGGGGGGGGAGGAAACCAGGAAAGACAACATATAAGCAGATTCAATTTCAGTTTTAATTGCATTGCTGCCAGTGATGTTTTGGGGGGAAATTTCCTCCACGTTCATAGGGTCAGGAAGTGATTTGAAATCTCTCCAATGGGGACACAGACAGAATATAAAAACACATTTTGTTGTAAAGGGATACATTGTTAGAACCTGTTTCAGCTTTTTGTTGCCCTTGGGGAAGATGTCCCGTCATTTCCTTTCCCAGTGACAGAATTTACTCGCTCCTTCCTTCTTCTACCCAAAACTATATGAAAATGTTTATGTCTAGAGTTCCAATAACTAGAAATGACCTGATTAGAATTAGATGCGGATTCATTAAACATCCGGGGGCGGCATGTTAATTCACTTTTTAATTTTGTATTCAATTAATTCAATTCACTTCTTTCCTGATTTGTTTAATCAGAACTATTTTTAAATATAATCGCTTGTTTGATTATTGTCTATTTATTTCATTCATGTTGGTTTCATTTTGTTTATCCCTGGCAGGTTTGCAACTTGTTTTGCAGTTTAATGAAACAGGTTTTTTTGCCAAAATACTTCTCTATAGAGACAAATTGTATCTAATTATATTCTAATGTGTTCTGTTATAACAACAGCATTGTAATAGGAATACATAGTAGAGATGTTTCTGATAATACAATCAAAGCTTACATGAAAAAATCTCTTATGTAGTGAGTGCTGCCTTCTGTCTGCCCATCACTTCCAACAACTTCCTGGATTCCCAGCGTGCTTTGCGTCTCTTTCCCTGCTGCTTGATGGGATGCAATCTTCATTTCTGAAGACTACATATCCCATCATGCATTGCTTCCAGCAACCAGTGATAATGTTACATTGTTCAGACGTTGAGTTGTAGTTCAGAAGGCAGGCTCTGTGCATATTCACCGGGCTAAGTAAAATGGTGTCAGTGCATTGAGGAAGTCCATCCTATGGGCATCTTCAAGAAGTAATTTTACAATCTTCTAGATGGATCTGGTTATTAGGAGCGAGAGAGAACTTATGGAAATGCAATATAGAAATACAGATTTATTTATAGTTTTTGGCCATAGATACCCTTTAACTAGAGTGGATGTCAGAGTCCTGGCTACGGTATGTGTCAGAGATACTTAGATGATA